TTTGTATCGTTAGAGATTAGATCAAGGTGGAGACCGTTCGATGACAAAGGCCCACGCATGTGTGGGTAATTTTACAAGTTGTAATCTCGAAGGCCTGTGCTTGTACGGGTAGATAGAATAAATGTAATAGAAGTAGTTCTACTATTTGTTTTATCACGTACATATGCATAGATCCATTTTGGCTCGAATGGATCGAATAGGAAAGGACATGATCATCCCACCATGCATTAGATGTATGTTAGGTTTATTTACGCTTTCGTTTCATTAGATGACTGAAACTGGTAAATAAACGTAAAGATGGTAATCGATGAGATCAAGGAACCCAAACGGATTAATTTGATTAATTCCATATCAAATCAATAATGGATAAAAATAAGTTGGAACTTATTAATCCAGGCCTTCCATCAAAAGTAGATGACATGAGATGCTACGATGTTTTATCATTGGCCACGAGTCGTGGGATGATTCTATGTCGAAAGCTGTGAACTCTATTAAATATATTGATATTCGTGAGACGGATTCCTCTTTGTGTTGGCCATGAGTCGTGGGACACTCTGGTGGGCCGTTATCATGAAAGTTTTGATGGGTTTGATTTGACACCGAGTAATATATATGGAGTCATAAAATTGAGGTATATAAGGAAAGGTGAGGCAAAACATCTTGAAGGTTGTATAGAGATACAATTGTCAAAAAGTTGACTACCGATAAAATTGTTTCATGGTGGCATCATAAAATTGGGACATGAAATATTTTTATTGGACTTCAAGCCCACTATGAAAATAATGATTTTCATAATTATAATGAGGTTCTAATTAAATTAGTGGGAGACATTTAATGTTAAAGACCTAATATTAAATGAATATAAATTCCATAGTCTAATTATTTTCTGCTTCGTTTGTTATTTTTGTAGATCAAACTACTAAAATGGCTAAGAATCCAATCGCGAGTATCCTTGATCATAATAAATTAACTGGTCCCAACTTCAATGATTGGTTGAGGAACCTAAAGATTGTTCTTCAGTCTGAGAAGCGAGAGTATGTTTTGGAAACAGCTCCTCCTCCTCCACCGGAGGATCAGACTGCTGAAGAGTATGGAGCCTACTTGCGTCATGTTGATGACAATCTCCAAGCTCGGTGCTACATGCTAGCATCAATGTCTAATGAGCTACAGAGACAGAACGAATTACTGAATAATGCTTCTGAAATCCTAACTCACCTGCAAGAGTTGTATGGTGATCGGACGCGACAAATTAGATATCAGATATCTAAAGAGCTTTTCAGGTGTCGTATGACCGAGGGCTCTTCAGTTCATGATCATGGACTGAAGATGATAGCTCTTGTGGAAAGACTCGAATCACTTGGAGTCATTATGGATAATGAACTCTATGTGGATTTATTGTTGCAATCTCTGCCAGCGTCATTCGATAACTTTGTCGTTAACTACAACATGCATAATATGGAAACTGATCTTCCAGGATTATTAAACATGTTGAAGACGGCTGAGTCCACCATTAAAAAGGACAAGCCGGTACTTCTTGTTGGATCCACTTCCGGATCAAAGGCTACTAAGTCTAAGAAAAGGAAGAGGAAGGGAAAGGTTCCCAATAAGCCCAACAAGAAGGCATATAATGATAAAGGGAAGAACAAACAGAAGGTTAATTCTCAGGCCGATCATGAATGTTTTCATTGTGGCAAAACTGGGCACTGGAAGAGGAACTGCAAGGAGTATCTTGCTAGTCTGAAAAGTTCAGGTATTTATTTTGTTGAAGTTAACTTGTCTGTTAACGATTCTTCTTGGGTATTGGATACCGGCTGTGGCTCACATATTTGCAATGATTTGCAGATGATGGCAAGAAGTAATATGCTAGATGGTGAAGAAACAATCCTAAGGATGGGCAATGGGGCAAGAGTTGCTGCTAAAGCTATTGGGACTGTTTATCTAGCATTGAATAATGATGTAAAGATTTGTCTATCAAACTGTTTGTATGTTCCGGATTTAATAAAAAACATTATTTCTATTCCAATATTGGATAAGGAAGGTTTTAAGTTTGTCATTGAAAATGGAAAATGTTCTATTTTCAAAGACACAACTTTTATTTATTCTGGAAATTTGACAAATGGGTTGTATACCATTACACCACAAAGTCCCATCCTAACCATTCAACAAAATAAAAGGAAATTAGATAATCATAGTTCATTCACAATTTGGCATGCTAGATTAGGTCATATATCCGAAAAACGGATTCACAAATTGGGACCTAAACTCGACCTTAGGGGAGAGGATAGGTTGCCTACATGTGAGTCATGTCTTAAAGGTAAAATGACTAAATCACCATTTGTTGGACAAGTGGAGCGAGCTAAAGGTTTGTTGGATTTGATCCATACAGATGTTTGTGGACCACTAAACGTTAGTGCAATGGGGAACTATCACTATTTCATAACCTTCACTGATGATTATTCACGGTATGGTTATGTTTACCTATTGAGGTACAAATCTGAAGTATTTGAAAAGTTCAAAGAATTCAGAAATGAAGTGGAGAAACAAATTGGTAGAAATATTAAAGTTCTTCGATCAGATCGAGGAGGTGAATATTTGACTAATGAGTTTCTTGATTATTTAAAAGATAATGGGATTGTCTCACAGTGGACGCCTCCTGGAACTCCACAACTCAATGGGGTTTCAGAAAGGAGGAATCGAACATTGTTGGACATGGTTCGATCGATGATGAGTACCACTGATCTACCTCTTTCATTCTGGGGCTATGCCTTAGAAACAGCAGCATATATTTTGAATAGAGTGCCAAGTAAAGCTGTACCCAGCACACCTTATGAGATATGGTGTGGTAAATCACCCTCATACAAATATTTACGAGTATGGGGTTGTACTGCTTATGTAAAGCAGTTAGTGGGAGGTAAGTTGGATATGAGATCCATCTTATGTAAATTTGTGGGGTATCCTAGAGAGTCTATTGGATACTATTTCTATGATCCCTCTGAACAAAAGGTGTTTGTTTCGAGGAATGCTGTATTCTTAGAGAAAGATTTTATCTCAAAGAATAGCGGAGTCATAGAACTTAATGAAGAACAACCACAAATTCCACTAAGTACCACGGAAAACATACCAGTAGAGACTGGACCATCTAAAACACAACCTCTTCGGAGATCCGAAAGGGTTTCTAGGGCGCCTGAAAGGCTATACCTATTGTCAAAAGACAATGAAGAGGGATTCCTTTTGGATAATGATCCAATAAGCTATGATGAGGCAATGTTGGACATTGACTCAGATAAATGGCAAGAAGCTATGCAATCCGAAATAGATTCCATGTATTCAAACAAAGTATGGACTTTGGTTGATCCACCACAGGGTATTGTACCCATAGGTTGTAAATGGGTTTACAAGCGAAAACGTGGTGTAGATGGAGAAGTAAATACTTTTAAAGCAAGACTGGTTGCTAAAGGTTATACTCAAAAACAAGGTGTTGATTATGAGGAAACTTTTTCACCAGTAGCAATGCTTAAATCTATTCGGATATTGCTAGCCATAGCTGCGTATTATGACTACGAGATATGGCAAATGGATGTGAAAACTGCTTTTCTTAATGGAAATATTAAGGAAGACATTTATATGAAACAACCGCAAGGTTTCATATCCAATGGGAGTGAACAAATGGTTTGTAAACTTCAAAGGTCTATTTATGGACTTAAACAAGCTTCGAGGAGTTGGAATATTCGGTTTGATGAAACGATCAAAACGTTTGATTTTCATAAGAATCCGGATGAACCATGTGTTTATAAGAAGGTTAGTGGGAGTGCAGTTACATTTGTTGTTCTATATGTTGATGACATCCTACTCATTGGGAATGATGTAGGGATGTTGCAGTCAACTAGGACATGGTTGTCAAAACAGTTTTCCATGAAAGACTTGGGAGAAGCATCCTTTATCCTAGGGATAAAAATCTATAGGGATAGATTTAAACGGATGATCGGACTATCCCAGTCGACGTACATAAATAAGGTGCTACAACGGTTTAGCATGGAAGAATCCAAACGAGGATATATTCCAATGAGTCATGGGATTTCTCTTTCTAAGACGATGTCTCCAAAGACACCTGAAGAAAGAGAACGGATGAGTCATATACCTTATGCATCAGCTATTGGTAGCATTATGTATGCAATGTTATGTACAAGACCTGATGTGGCTCATGCACTTAGTGTAACGAGCAGATATCAGTCTAATCCAGGTGAAGAACACTGGAAAGCCGTTAAGATGATTCTTAAGTACTTACGAAGGACTAAGGATATCTTTATGGTATACGGCAATGGAGAACTGAAACTAGAAGGCTTTACTGATTCTGGTTTTCAGTCCGATAAAGACGACTATAAATCCATGTCTGGATACTTATTTACTCTGAATGGAGCAGCAGTTAGTTGGAAAAGTTCCAAACAAGAAACAATTGCTGACTCTACGACAGAGGCTGAATATATTGCTGCATCTGATGCTGCAAAAGAAGCTGTTTGGATAAGGAACTTTATCCAAGGGTTGGGTGTAGTACCATCCGTTGTTGATCCAATAATGATTTATTGTGATAACAATGGGGCTATTGCGCAAGCAAAGGAGCCAAGATCTCATCAAAAATCCAAACACATTATGAGGCGATACCATTTGATTAGAGAAATCATTGGTAGAGGCGATGTCGTGATGGAGCGAGTCGACTCAGCAGAAAATATAGCAGACCCCTTAACTAAACCCTTATCACAGAAAGTGTTCGAAGGACATCTTGAGAAGATGGGTCTTAGATACATGAGTGATTGGAACTAGGGCAAGTGGGAGATTGTTAGAGTAGGGTACCCGGCGTTCCAATCTAATTGGACGTATTCTACTTGTAAATACAGTCTATTGGAATTATATTATGAATAAGGCATTTCTTTATCTTAAGAGAAAGCATTTATCTTATAATTGCACTTAAGATAAAATCCCTAGATCACTTATGGTTATAAGGTATGGTTGCGCATAGAGATGGTGATCATGGAACATACCTTGAAAGCCGTGATCTTAAATACAGTTCCAAGTCGATGGATGTTTCGAGATGGGATATCGAATAATCCATAAAAGACTTGCACATAGTTTGTATGCTTGTTGGACAAGAATGTTGCATTCCATCAACATTAGCGTAAGACGTAAGTACATTTATGTGGGTGCTTGTTAGAGAACAAGTTCACTGAACATGACCGTATGAAAATTCTTAATGAAGAATTTATTCAGTCGAATAAGAATTTTCATGTTACAATAGTACATGACTAATCCTAAGACTTGAGGCACAATGGTAACTTTGTGCATATTACATTCTACTTTGATTTATCCTTTTGGTAGCTAGCACTATCGTTTAAAGGGATAAGTTGGGTATTATGTTAATATGTATGGAAGTTTGTTAGTGGCCAATAAAGGATTCGACACTTATGAAGATAAGTGAATTTCCTATGTGTTTCATAGTTATTAATCCAAAGTCCTTGGCCAAGGCAGAGATGAATAGTGATTCATAACCGGGTTAATAAACATGAAATAGAATCATAGTTATTAAGTCAATTTGGGTTTCGACAAAATCATACCCAAGACTTAATCGGGAAATTAGATGTCGAAAGGATTTTACATGTATGGAGTTGTAATCGGAATAGGTTTACTCGCTATTCACTTAATACTAGATTCATGCTACTTGCTAGGTGTTACCATGATATGTGGGTTCATAAATTAAAGGGTTAATTCATGAATAAGAGTTAATAAGATTTAACTCAAATTACAAAGTGTTGTAAACCCACTACTAGTATTAAGGTGAACCTAAAAGGTCACACTAATTATGAACAAAGGTAAAGATTGTATTTCTAATGGTTAGAATTAATTGATAAATATCTAATTTGATTAGATATCAATTAAAGGAATATATTAATCAATAAGATTGATTAATTACATTTTGGATATTACTTTAGTAATTAAGGTAATTACTAAATTAATAAAGTTGAATTTTAAAATAGGATTTTAAATTTCAAAAATCCAAAATAATAATAATATGATTATTATAATATTGGGAAAATGATATAATAATAAAGTCTTGAGAAAGATTCTCAAGATTTATTATCCAATTATTATTTATATCTTTAAATATGATTTAAGGATTAAAATAATAAATATGATTATAATAAAATGGTTGTTGATGGTTGTTTGAACTACTTAACATATCTTATTATTTTCAAAGTCAAAAGTTAGTAAATACTATTTAAATAAAATTTGATTTTATTTAATATTACTAAATGTTGATTATTTTATGCTAAAATGTTTAGTATAAATATATGCAAAATGGTTTTGCATTTAAGTGAAGTTTTTGATCCTAAATTTCTAAGTGTTAGAAAGAGAAGAAAGTGTTCTTCATAAAACTTCAAGAAAGAGTTCTTAAAATTCCCAAATAAAATTCATAAATATTCCTATACAAGAAAACCGAGTCTTTTCTACTAGCGAAGGAAAGTCGTCGGAACCGGGCTTCATAGGGTGGATACGTTTAGAGGGAAGACACTTGGATTCCTCTAGCGAGTAACCTCAAGTCGTTGAAGTTACAACCGGGAACCGATTCCCTCATCCATCATCAATAGTGAAGGAGTTCAAGACATTCGGTAAATATTTTTACTAGTATTTACTTTATAGTAACAAATCAAAATTTGTATATAATGCATGTTTTAAAGATGACGATCAGTTAATTCGCAATTAGTATGTACGGGTGTTGTATTTATACGATAAATACTTACTTTAAAAATTTTAAATTCCGCTGCGTACAGCCCGTACGGTACTATCGAACCCAACACAGACCCCACCGCGAGACCTCCGATTGCCACACCCGTCGAGAACCAGCAAGTCACCCTCCCTTCTCTGGCGAGTTTCCACCAGTCGCAGTACCTTCCGACCCCTGCAGCTCCGCCCCTGTCGCGTGTTCAGGCCACCGCGAGCATCCCATCGCCGCTCCTTCATGCCAACCGGTGAGCAGGTCCAAGTTTTGGCGACCCTCCACCGCCGTCCGTGTGTCCTCAATGATGCGACGATCGACACCTTTCAGTGAACAACGGTTGGTTCCTTTCGCGAGCAGCAGTGGTGTCTCTGTCGTCGAGAGCTGGCAGCAGCACAGTTTTTTGTCGATGAGCCCTTTTCTCGTGAGGGTTAATAGAGATGAGCCGCGCCGGAGATTCCTTATTGTCAGTTGGATGTGCAAGAGTAATAGTCGAGGCTGTTTTCTATTCGAGAAGTCATAGAGGTCGGGCCGTTCACGTCGCAATTGAACAACCCCGTAACTGCGAGAAGTGTAGTAGCAGCCTCGGGCTGTTAAGCCGGGGTTTTTATCGAGCTCTATCGAGAGCTTTATCAAGTTTTTTCGAGAGCCACGCGTGAGAAGTAGCAGCGAGCAACCTTGACCGTTCAGTTTCGAGAGCATGAGTGCAGAGGCCACTCGATTTTAGATTTTAATCCGTTCTCGTTTTATTCCCGAAGGAGGTATATGGCTTGACCTTCTTCAATTATTCTTTTTAGTTTTAAATTGAAGGGTTATGTAGGATTTGAGGTTCATGCCGATGAGACGCATTGTTTTAAATGTCTTGTGATTTTATGCGTATGTGTGATTATTTAATGTAGTAGTCTCCTCGATTTTGTGAAATCGAGTGAGATCATGATATAAATCGTGAAAGTTCTATGGATATGGAACATTGGAAAGTCCTTGGTCTTATGGTTAAGGCCTGGGACGAAATAATTGAGTTATGTGCCGGTTATGATTTATCGAAATCAACTAGTTGCCGTATTTGTGTTAAATTCATGATAAATCACATGCTACTCTGATTAATGTGAAATTTTGTGTGTTATGTCCCTTGATGATTTTATAGGCTGTCTAAAAGTTTCAGATTAAAATACTAACTGTAACTATTTTAATTAATTAATGTGATTTCTGGGCAGAATAGTATTAGTTTCATAGTAAATTTAGTTGTGCTTCAAATTTGTTGAATTTTGTGTATGTTGTCTCTCTGTCATATTTACATGTTGTGTAAAATGTTCAGAATTTTTTGACTTCATTTGATAGGGTTAAAAACTGTTTTATGTATTCTGCAGAACCGTAAATTAATTATGATAAATCGACCTGGTGCTATAAATTGCTGGATTTTGGTGTACTGGATTATTTTGTGATGTGTTTCAGGATGTAAAAGGATCAGGTTTAATTATGTTCATTTTGGTTCGGTTTTATTGAAAATTTGAATTTTGCAGAATATTGTTATAATTTTTATAAGTCATGTGTTTAATGTAAATAGCTGAAATTTTTATATATTGTTACTCACATGCGGAGGGTGCTCGTATATAAATTTCAAGTCATAAGTCATTCATTAGGTCAGGTTTTGAAGTTGTGCTTGTTTTCACTGAAAACTTGTCTGAATTTTATAAAATCGTGTATTTTGAGTTAAGGGCAGAAACTTGGCGAAATTACTAAGTCTAGGGAGGTGAATTTTATGTTAAAATTTCAAAGTCTAACTCGTTGGTTTGCTGGACGATATTGAATTTGTGATTTCTCGGCAATTATTTTCAAAGTGTAGTTTTATGTTAAAGTATGTAAGTCGATTCGTATGTTTCCCTTGTTGTTTGATTTGACCATCCCTTATTTGAAATTTTGTGAACTCCAATAATTGGTTTGGTCGAGTCGAAGTCCAAGAGTTCCAATATCCACAGGACTCCACGAACAACTTAGTCGAATCAAGTTTGTCTAAGTCTAATTGTGATTTCCATTTTGGATCAAGATAAGTTGTTGATTTTAGTATCTTGACTTAATGTAGGTGTTTTGAGGTGTTGACCTCACCCTGCTTTCGAGACTCGTACTAGTGGTTTATTGCTTCAAGCAGGTGGGTATTTTTGTGTTGTATCCATAATTATCGCACCCATTATTCATATAAAAGTTTCGTTTGAAAAATGTTGTATGCATGTGTAATGTCACGTTAATTTATGAATAATTATGGAATTATTTTATTATTTATTTTATTTGTCTGAATTATTTATTTATTTATTTATTTATTTAATTGTGCTCGTAACTGCCTTAATTGTTTATTATTCTAAGATAAATAATCTGTACCGAGCCTCGAATAATTTCGAGTCGAGCCCGAGAGGAACCGGCAGATTTTGAATATTTTTCCATAGCCATTTTGGGATCGTTTTCTCTAGCTCAACCCAAATTTTTTTGTAGTAGCCCATTTGTATTAATTTTGGCCCATTTTTAGTGAGTTTAAACATGACCCAATACCTTTCAAATCCTTGGTCTTTTTATATGTATTACATTGGAAAATTTATTTGTTTAACTTTTGGGCCTTTATTAGCTTCTATAATGAGCCCATAAGAGACATTTTATTCTCCCACGTGATTATATATCGACCGAGTCTCCTCCCTCGTTGTTACGATATTTCTGCAAGAGTCTTCTCCACTGAGCTCGTCTCTCGCTTACTAGACCCGGCCAAAGACTTTATCTTCACTTATCAGAGTTCTCAGTTCAAATTCACCTTCTCTTCTCTACACTGTTCGCGAAAAAAAAAAAATAAGAAAAAACTTGTACGTGCCATTGATTCCGGCGAGCTCCTCTCATCCTCATCGGCGTCCTCTCGTCGTAGCAGCCTTTCGTCATCACCGAACCACTGATACTGGAACCTCAGTCACGAGCAGTCCTCGAGCAGCCGTCATTCGCCGGTGTCATCCCCACGAAGTCATCGCAGCCATTTTTTCGGCAACTACAGCCCCTCGCCGTCGACGACCACTTTCCGTCAAGCAGAAAGCCTTCGAACGTGACCCGCGTCGCGAGCCTGCAACTCTTGTACACTCCGAGTTTCGAGCAGCGATGCCGAGAACAGAGTAGTAGAGGAGACCCGTAACCTGATTTTCACGTCACTCTTGGTCGTGTTTCAGAGACAAGGGCCATCGCCAGTTCGAGAATTCTCTGTCCGCGAAAGGAAGTTGAAATAGCAGCAGTCCGGTGAGTTCTTTTTCCCGCAGTCGCCATCGTTCATCCCGAGAATCCATTGCCACCGTCGGTTTGTACGTGTTCCGTCACCGGAGTATTTTACAGCAATCTTGTTCGTCGCGGTTTGTCGTGAGGAACCTGGCTGTTGCGAGGAGGCTGTGTCTAGTCCCGGTGTCCGATAGTTCCAAGTTTCGAGGCTCCGTCCGTTCGACCCGTTGTCCGACCCGTTTTTCTTCCGATAGCTCGTAGATCCCCGAAAGCGGGTAACTTATTCGAACCCTCTCATTATTCCAGTCGTGCTCGTATATCACATGATAGATATATATATCATGCGTGCTACCGAATTCTTGATTGAAGTCGGATTTATTTCGAATTATTTATCGGCTTGTATATGTCGTTCCGTTTATCGGATTATGTTCGTGACTTCGTTAAATCGAGTATCACGTTATTGCTGTGAAAACCATATAGTGCTTGTTTATTGCTGTCGAGAAATTATAATAATCGTTGTCTTGTTTCGAACCATCCGTTATGTATTCATTGGCATTTTATGTGAAAATACATTTTTCGCAGTTCTGTTGTGCCGCAATTTAAGCCATCAGAAACAAATTATTTGAAGTTGTAATCTTCATAAGAAATGTAGTATTTTCAGTTTTCTGTACCTGGCTTTGGAACTTCTCGATTCCGAGTTATATTGAATAAGTTATGATTTTTGCAAGAATTTTATGCGTTCAGTTTTTCTTGTTACCCGGCAGCATGTCTGTAATTAAGTTATTACCTGTTTATCGTGCTGTAATGTGCTCGTATGTAACGCCCCGTTTTATTTTAAGGAATTTATCGAATTAATTAATAAAAATCAGAGTTTTTTTTTTTTTAAATCCAAATTAAAACATTTATCGAGAAACGGGCGCTACTTGATAATGACATCAGATAAACACATCCATCAAACAAAAGAACCTACACATGCTCGGACTAACGATATAAAATTATCCCTTAAATTCATAAGTCTCAAAACATTCAAATAGGTGTAGCATGAAACAAGGTTCAACAAACTTGAACATAATTCGAAAGCGGAAGCAAGAATTAATCCAAAGTATGAAAGCAAATAATTAAGTAACAAGTTCATGCATAACACATAATCAGTATACAAAATCAAAGCAGGGATAAGCACATATTAAAATATCCAAAACCAAGTGGGAACAATAAATCAAGTCAAGTATCAGTTCAATAGATCATAAACAGACGGAAGCATAAAATAGCGATAACATAATTTGACCAACGACCATCCTCTCGCTCGTCTTTACGCCACCGCCACCAACTCAGCTCAACCTAAAGAAAGGAAGAGGAGACAACAACAGAAAACAATGGGGGTGAGCAACCAACAAGCTCACCATTATCGCACAATTATCTCGTATAATTATTTTTAAAAACAGTATCACGGTAAACAGTATAAGTATCGGTATGCATAGAATTCATAGCCTAAACCCCCTACCCAGCCCTATCGCAAACCTCCTATGTACATACAACAACCTTCCGGATACAACGGCATGGCTGTAACTGGAAACATTCCCACCCCCGGGTACAACGGTTCGCAGGATCCTTTCCAGGAGACAGCAGAGATGTTTTTCCCCTTCCGGATACGACGGCATGGGGCGTCCCTCCCGGATACAACGGGCAGGCGACCTCCTACTGTTTTCGCATTCATCAAGGCACTAGCGTTCGGGACACTTAGACTAGAGTTCTCATGCATACAATAATTTTTCAAAAGAAACATTACACGAAATAAGGAGTGCGATAAATATGGAATACATCATAAATGTACCCACCTGATAGAAGCTACAATTCAAATCACAAATCTTGAGATGAGGCGAGGTCAACACCTCTAGGCACCTACATTAAGTCCAGATACTAAAGTCAACACTTTAATCTAGACCTATGTAGAAAATTCACAAATTGACTTAGCCGAACTCGGTTCGACCAAGTGGTTCGTGAAGTTCTGTGGATATGGGAACACTAGGACTTAGACTCGACCAAACCACACATTCAAATTCACATAAATGCAAGTGAAAGACAGATAAACGAGCCACAAGTAAACACATGGCACATTTGTCAACAACACTTAACAAATTTCAATATAGAAAAACAATTTCTCAAATTCACACTTGAATTAGAAGGCATATCAAATCAATGAGTTAGGTTCTGAAACTTTTACCTAAAATTCACCTCCCAGAATTTAGTAAAAACACCCAGTTTCATCCTCAAACTCATTAAACCCAA